GGTCAAAACTGAATAGCAGACAAAGAATGTCATGGCGTCCACAGCGCGTTCACGACTCCGATAGCATGTCACGATAGGAGTCTGCGCATCACGATAACATCGCGATACCCATTGTGATTGGCGCAGCACTGTTGCGACATTAAGTCCATATATCGCGATATAACATACCCCGGCAAAACGCCCCTGCCCCCATGTCGCGACATGAAGCCCGCATATCGCGATATGACACCCGCCCGGCAAAAATGCCCCGCCCCATATCGCGACATGATAGATCCTATATCGCGATATGACATGCCCAGCCAAAACGCCCACCCCCATGTCGCGACATAAAGCCCGTAAATCGCGATATGACATACCCCGACAAAATGTCCCACCCCCATGTCGTGACATGGAGTCCATATGTTGCCATAGGACATACCTGACAGGATATTCTGACCCCATTTCGCGACACAAAGCCCATATATCCCGACGCGTCCTATCTGGGTATATCATGTCCTGACATGAGACCTTTATTGTGACAGCGGTGCCGGGGTGGCATGGAAGCAAGGCGCCAGTCGTGATATACACTGCCACGATAAACATGCCATATACATGGGGTCCCTATCATGACAGGCTGCGGAGGTCTTGTCACGATGGTATCCCACAGTTATGTTTGGCAACAGCGTGTCACGGTAGGGAAAGAAAGGAAAACTGATATGAGCATAACATCCCAGAAGAACGTGCTCGCACGTATGGGTTTCAGAGGTTGGAGTAAATGCATCGCACCAAGGGTAATAACGAGCGAGGCGCCTTGAGAATAACAACTGCGAAGATATTAAAATATGAAGTTCTGAAGATCTTGTTCGATCCTTCATGATGCTTTTAAACTTCGTACCCACGAAATTAGTATTCTATTATCGATTCCAAAATACACCTACTTTGGAAATTCATGACTTCCCACAAGACTTTAACACTGAATTGTTATAGTCGCATTACAGTGCTAACCAATTCATCGTACCTTTAATTGCAAGAATGGTCTGCTAATAAAAGCGTCAAATACATACTTTGGATGTATTTTAGCTCTGTAAACGTCGTTCACTTAAACTGCAGGGCATTTAGAGGCGATCTGAATAGTTATCTGTAAAATGCACACTCGCATCAATATTATCTTAATGTTATTCATGCATTTCAAAGCTTGTAATTTGTTACCAGGAGAAATTTTAGAACCTCTGCGTGCTTAACTCCTACAGGTATCGAGCTGCTACAAGCAAACGCGTGCACTGCCGCTTGCGGTCCAGAAACACTTGTATTCGGGAAGCCAGGCTGTTCTCCTTAAAACCCAAGATGCCTGTAGCATCTCGTGTGTCGTATTTGTTTTGGGACTGGTCTGGGCATCTACAGGCGGCTTTTTGAAAAACGTAGATATATGCTTTTGTTTTGCCATGTTGGCTAAAAAACAAAAAACCTATAACGATAGCCAATTAGACTACGGCTTCGCATACACCGCCCCAAGACATTTACATAATTTTCTTATTGGTCACAAAAGATACAGCGAGACAATAGCAAATCACATACGATGGAAAAAATCAAACGCGTAACGCATTTCTAGATTCACCCGAGAGTCCCCCTAAGTCCTATGAAGTCCCTGCCAGGGACACCCTTAAAATCGTTTCACAAAGGAAAAGTCTGAAGCCTCAGTATCAGGTTTCCACATACTGTATCTGCGTTCCCTGTCACTTTCTAAAATGTTTTCTTCACTCAATAGAAAAAACAGCAGGACTCCCACAGAATAACATGCCGGGCCTCTGTGAACAGAAAAGACAGCCTGAACAAGATGGTCTGTATTCTGCAAGGTTCTGAAATATCTGTGGACCAATAACATCCCAGTGCTAGAGGACTGCCTTCAGAATGCAATGCAATGAGCAGAATTGAATTTGCCCGTTCTACCACTTTTGACAGTCAGTTTTCAACAGTATTCAAAATCGGGGGCGGAAGTACTTCAGAACCTTACGATCTGCGTTCAGTCCACAGCGATTAAACTTGTTTCAGAGAAACCAATTCAAGACGCTCCGATACTTCTTAGGAGAAACAGGTCAAATCTTGCAAAAAGAAATGCAAGATAGGTCAAAACGCCTTTTCGGGGATCTTTTGAAAAGAAACGGACCCCTCCAATTGGAATATCCAAGACTGAATGCAGATTCTTAAACAAATCATCACTCCTACCTTCACGGTCACCTGAATGTCTACAGAGACAGTTGGGCACAAAACTGAGCTGTTTTCCATGTGTTGTGCTAGAAAGTGTAATTAGGCCAAAGGTAACAGTACAAGTTGACGTCTGCAAACACCATATGAACGCAGCTCCGTTTGCCGGACTCTGCTCCTAATTACGCAGGCAGGACACAATATTTGCTAGGGCACAGCTGTTGTTTTCCTGCTAGGTACAAAAACATTAAGAGCGCTCAAGCACGTTCACCGCATTTCGCCATTAGAGGTGCAATTTACTGGGTCATGATTTAGGTGCCTGAAAACAAGGTTCGTGACCAGCAGATGAGCACGAAGAGGAGAGTGCCAAAAACCTGACATCTTGCAGGAGCTCAGGGAGGACACACTTCCAGCAACAGGCAATGTCCCAAGGTGAGGTCTGTTAAACGTTAAACCCAAATACGTCTAAAACAAGGAGAGAATGTTCTGCTGTGCAATATAAGCAGCAAACATTATTCTGGTTATGATTTCTAGTATATTTCCCATCTTTTTTTGTACATTTGCTAAACCGCTATCACATCTGTAGCTTTTGCATTTTAGGATACCACATCTTCATCCAGAGCACCAGCAGGTGCTGCAAATGTAACCTAATGAAGAATACTGAATAACACGTCGATGCTCAGATTTGGAGGCTGTGATTGTCTCACTTCATTTGAGTGTTTTCCAATATAGTGCTTAACGTTCTGGAATTCAGCAGGAGACTGTTTTATCTGCCTTGGCAATGTAACCTACTAATATAACATCGACTCCCAGCCCATAGCCACGACTCACAAGCAGGATCACATGCTATGTCTCCATCTACCACTCCAATCAACCCTTCTGAGCAAGAGCTTGGACATGGCACACCTTGGATCCCTATTAATAACCATCACAATGGACTCACTGGCCTGCGACTTGAATCGGAACACTCATCAGAATTTGTACGGGCAGAAGTGAGAGGCTTTAAAGGAGTACCACCTAGGAAATTAAAAATTTTTATTTAAAAAAAAAAGAAAAAGCATTTCTTTAGCCTTTCGTAATCAAAAACACACATTTGTGAATTACAGCTCAGTTGCAGTGAGGGTTGCCTATAATGAGGGCGATCTGAGACGCCTGCTTGAAACATGATCCAAACTAAAAATGTGAAGCTGTTCACGAGGTCATATTATTCTTGTATTCGTATCTAGTTTACCATCATTGCAGCTATATCCAATATTCCTTTATTTGGTCCATGAAAGTTACAGTATAACGTGATCTCTTACAAAACATGTCAAATATAAATAATTGCAAACTGTAACAATACGCACAAAAAACGTTTCTTAAATCACTGTAACCAGGCAGTGTACACTGAATGGAGGGCACAAACAAAGCCACCTGTTAATAAAGGTGTTTTATAGAAATATATGGTGTACAGACTGGGTTAATTCTAACTGGTATCTGCAAATCACTCAAGAACCCATTCCCAGTGGGTTTGCAAACTTGAGCTCTTTTCTAAATTTCAAGCAACTGGAAGGAGTGAACGTGTGGCATTTTGCTGCGCCTCCCAAAACGACCACTGCGCAAATCACTTCAGCTGCAGGCTGCCTATTCCAATTCCATCTCCAAACTCCTTTTTATCAAGTTATTCAATTATATAAAATGTCTAAAGAAATATATATATATTTTAATTGAAATGTATTTGTTCTGATAAAACAGTCAAACAACCCCTGAAACAAGTAGATTTTCGATAAAAATGATTTGGATCAAACCAGATCTGTGTCCGAGAAGTACAGTACGTAGAAACGCTCTTGACTTGCATTAAACCCCCCCCCATCCCTGTCTCTTGAAAAAGTGGATAAGCGTTCTGAAGCCTTCATTTGACCCTCTAGGACAGACTACAAAAATGTGCACAAATGAATAGGCCCAAGGCCCTCACACGAACCTGGTTTCTGACTGAACTTAAGCAAAAAAGGCATAATATTGCCTTTCCCTTGCTTCTCGACCCACGGGTGACTTTTCTGACAGAACTGTTCAGCCTTGACCGTTATGTACACTGCACAGGAAACGCGGATCCCGGGAGCTGAGAGGCGGGGCTTAGTCCAATGCTATGATGTCGTCGTCTTCGTCGGCGGCGGGCTGCTCCTGGCGTCTGCGCTTGGCGGCGGCCTCGCCCTCCGGCTCATCCAGCTTCCGCTTGTGGCCGCCGCCCTCCGCGTGGACGTCCGCGGCGCTGGAGGAGGGCTCCTCGTCGGAGTCCACGATGAGCACGTCGTCCTGCTCCGGAGCTGAGCGGAGGGAGAACAGCCGGGGGGGGTGTCAGCCATGTTTCCCAGCGTCTTTTAAAACCCTGAGAGTGTGTCACTGTACATGCTGACAGACATGGCTGAGGCGAGCCATCTGCGCAGAATGAAACGGGCTTCCTTTCGGGAAGGGAATGTGGAAAACCAAGGATACTCCGTTCTACTAAACGAGGCTAGGGATTAGCCACGTTCCTCACGCGCTGTTCTCCTCAGTAGGAGCGTCATTATTCGACGTTCACAATGCGATGCTACTGCAGGAACCTGGGCAGGTGCCAGAGCCCAGGAGTCCCTTACCTTTCGAGGTGGAGGGCTGGGCGCCGTCGTCGCTGCCGTTGGCCATGTTATTCCCTGGCTCGGCCGCGCTCGACTGGGGGGGCTTCTCGGGGGTGTCCCCAACCACCTCAAACTCCACGTCCTTCTCCAGGTCCTCACTGTACAGAGACGGGGCGGAGAGACTTGTTCTGCGACTGGTCTAGTCCATATCTAAGAAACGTGGCTCAGGGGGCCAGTGTCATCCGAGCATTAATCAAATCGAGAGCATGTGCGATTCCAACTGGGTGAAACACTAGTCCACAGAATGGCTGCACCCAGCAATGTTGCTTCCTATTTAAACAGGATGCAGTGAAGTAATCAGGGTAAAATATCATATTCATTACACAAGAGGATCATCTGCAGGGGGAGCTCAGTCTTGCAGCCCACACCTCTCATTATCACTTTTCCGCACCCCAGATCTGAGTTTATCTCACCATCGGTCACTCAACAGTTGCAAAAACTGACATTTAATTTATTTTCTCTCATTTAAACTCCTCTTTTCCATTTGATATACAAAGGAAAACAAATGCATAGCAATCCTTCCAGTTTAAATCTGTTTGATGTGTTATTTCCCTGTTGATTTCCACCTTTGGAGTGCCTGGGCAGAGCAATCAGCTAGTTGACCCCAGGACGATGCCTTCTGATGTCAGCTGGCACGGTACTGGGCCTGTCAAGGGTCAGTGTTCCAAAGCACTGAAACATCACCAGCTGCACAGGTGCAATCCATGGCAAAAACCATGCAGGTGAAGCACTGTAAAATGCATAACTCCACCACTACCAAGAGCCAAGAGCTCAACATCATCTTTAAATATTCAATTTGCTAATGTGTCTCCAAAATTGCAGACAGAACCTGTTTCCTTAAGAAGGCCATTCATGTCCTCATTCTCAGAGCATGACCCCTTGATTTAATTAAACTGGTGTGTCAAACATCTTTTCAGCACCCTAACTCATGGTTGACTACCGACAGCTTTGAATCCTTCCATGGGCAATGCATGACAGTACTCACCAGTGTAGGATGTTCACTAGTAGCGTGTACTCCTGCAAGAAATCATCGACCTGGAGCCTGCTTCCATTGCGAATTCCAAACTCAGAGAGACACTTGTTATTATTTCCTGCCAGTGGAAAAAAAAAAAAACAATTAACATGGACAGATACCCCCCCTGCTGGCCAGACCGATGACACGATTGATGTGGCAATTTACAGCAGTATTAAGTTAAACAAAAGTTTAGATTTTGTTTTACGTTTGACTTTTTCAGGCAATATTTAACAGTCACAAAAAAGCCAAATTGGATGGGCAGTTCTCTATAGCATGTTTCATTTATTCCATATTAATGTCCCTCTGTTTGGGTCATCTACTGTTGGATAAGTTTACACAAAAGACCCAACGTTCCCGTCCAAGAAAGGAGGTCAGACCCTCACCTTCAGTTTCTCCTTCTTCAGAAGAAATCAGAATAGTCCCTTTGCCATCCTCAATCTGCACATCTGGGGCCACCATGCCGAACTTCTCTTTCAGAATCTGAAACAAACATGGACAAGCTGAGGAAGGGCACAGCTGGGGAGGAAAGTTACAGCTCACAGGAAGTGTATACTGGGACAGAAGGAGCTACGACTATAAATCATTTGGATGAAAGGCACAAATGAGGGCAAGGAGTAGAGAATGGAGTTATGAAAAGGCACTGACAGCTGGAAGCTTTTGTTTTGGTGTGAGTGTAGGTGTGGGGGCTCCCCCAAGAACTGTGGTACAGCCTCAGATTGACAGACTAGCCACCCCTGTCCCCAGAGAGTCACAATCTATCTGGGCTACCCCCAAGAATCACAGTTTTTTTAAAACACTTGCGACACTTTCTTTTTAAGAACCCGTGTTTGTTTCATATGAATATTTCAAACTGTCATATGAACTGTTAAAATCTGAATCTAAAGGTTTCAAGTCCTTGCAAATTCATGATTTAAAGGTGACCGATAAGAGGTGGTGGACTTTGGCTCTCCAGAATCACGGCAGGCCAAACCTTCTCTAAATAAATTACAGCACGCACATCAGGACAGCCCTACCTTGTCCTGTAAGCTCAGCACTGTGACTTTGTGAACACTGAGCTTGACTGTGACCTCTGGCTTACTGGCACACACATAGCAGTTGGCATTAGGAGGGTCTAGAGCACAGGGCACCAGCAACTTCTTTCTGGGGTTGGGCTGCTTGTTCAGGAAGACCTAAAGAAACAACAGCAATATTTTAATATCATGTGTTAAGGGCAAATTTTCTATATATTGAATACGAGCTGAAAACAAAGAAAGATATTACATATAAATTTAATTCAAGAACTACAAATGGAAATTAACATGTAACGTTCTTAACTGTTGGTGAACTTGTTACTTCAGGATGGGCAATATAAATGTACAGGATGGTAAATGTGCATAAAAAATAAAAATGGTCCTTAAAATGTTTTGGCAAGAAAATGTAACGCCTGGCACTCAAAATCACGAAAGACGTTGACCAAGTCAGAGGACGTCAAAATGAACACCAACACAAGGACCTAGAGACGTGGAAATTTAAGATTAGCACCATTGAAGACCGAAAAACAGGGAACCAACTCTCCAGTCATGCGACTGTTTAGGACACCGGGATACTAACAAGTACTAACAATACAAGTTTTATTTAAACAGCTGTGCCAGTTTTCTGCTGGTAGCTTCACTTTTACATGTAAAACGTTTGCAATGTTAGCACAATAAGTTACCTTACATTCCTATATACACCACAACCCTCAGCAGGACACGATGGATAGAAACAGGTACTGTGGCTATAGAGGAATGTATACTGGTGTTGAAGTTACTCACGGTTTTACACTGGTCAATGCTGCCTGACAGAATCTTCAGAGCCTCCAGCACTATCAGGCCTGCTATCACCGCATTGGTAGTGGCAATGGCTGGAATTATATTCCCTGCCATGGCTGAGGAAAGAAAATCCAATTCATTAGGAAGAAAAAGACGATAATGCACAAACTATGGAGTGAGATATGCATTTAACTTTCTCCTGCAGTGTTCTCAGGTATATTTTTTTAAGGGTGTACTGGAATGTCAGAAACTGTGCTATGCAAAACCGAAAACTGTGATAAGGCACAAAACACCTGGACACAAAACCAGAGGAGTGTTCAACCTGCCATATGTATAAAACTGTCGACACTGAATAAAACCAGCTGAAAAATTCTGACAGGACGTCAATAACTCTCTTATCAGATTGCTGAATACTGCCCTGAATGACCTTTCCTATAAGAGCTGTTCTTACTATAATCATAAAATATGTCTGTCTCTTTCTATTCCCATAATATACAAGTAATAAAAAAATCATAACATTTACAATAATAGTGACCTTAATACGACATCAGGAAAAGTTACTGATAAGAATTATTGTATCTGCTGGCCGCTTTGGTTTCCCCCAGTCGACCCCAGCTGTCGAACAGGAGCGGTGAACGCACAGACCGCACTGCAGAACAAGCTCAGCCATGTGCGTGAGCGCCCCCCTCCTGGGCTCCCCAGGCCGCACCACTTACACTTCACGTCGAATCGGCTCTTGGTGCTCATGCTGAAGATGTGCATCCGCAGATTAGCGGCGGCCGTCACAAAGTCCATCGCTGGGGGGTCGTCCTGCAAGAGGGATCCAAGTCGCGATCAGCAGGGGTGCAAGGACGGGCTCTGAAATCCCTCGGGAAAGCTCACAGGACTACTGCAACGTGCACTGGTGTACATCTGCAACACTATTATGGCCCCCAGTCTTCGTTAACTGAGACCCAGTTTGAAAATCCACCCGTCAGGTACTCTGTTCACGTCTGGCATGCCAGCAAGCTCCAACGCTGGAGGCGGCATCTGTCAAGTTAGGACCACGCATCCTGGTCCCTGTTCAGCCACAGCTTTGCTGTGTGTTTGACAGAGTCCAACCTCAACCTCTGTTGCATAAGTTTATAAGCACACAGAAGCAACTCCGCAGACTGGCGAGGCTATCTCGCGCTCACGGTAACTTTCAGCAGGAGAAAGGGGGTTCTGTCCAGGCTCCCGGCTCACCTTGTCCCACACCAGCTCCGCTCCGTCTCCCTTCTCTGCCAGCTGCATCCGGAGGGTCTCCACACTCCGGGAGAACAGCTGGGCACAGCTCTTCAGCCCCAGGACCTGCTGGTCCTTCAGGCCCGCGCTGGGGGCCCCCTCCTGCGCCCCGCCGCTCTCTGACCCGACAGGAACAGACAAGATCAGACTGACGGGCACAGGCCACCCCACCTCCCGAGCATGCAAAAAGGAGACATCCCCATAGATGGTAGACAAGCAGGTGACCTGAGCATTATCCTTGAGAAGCAACTAAACAGCTGACTGTAATAAGCACAAAAAATTATATGAAAAAAACTGATAAACCTATTGTTAATGCAGGAACTATACTTGTATTAAAGCAGTCGAAGACACTTTTCAGGTCGCCATTTATATAATCTGTGAATACAAAGTTTTACAGTTCCTCTCCTCTGCCCATGTTCCCTTACCCATATTATGAACCTCATTCCAGTCTAACGGAACAGGCGGCTTCCTCTTCCTCCACAGCTTGTCCATTGTCAGCAAGTACTTGATGTCGTCTTTAAAAAGCTGTAAGGACAACAAGGCATCTTATTGCACTTACCATATAACATGCCTACCATAACAGAAACATGATATGTTTGGAAACGAAATGCTCCTCCTGCCCGTTAGATCTCAGCTAACTTCTGAAAAAAAAAATAACATTGTGGGATACAGGTACACTTAGAAGAGGAATTAATCTAGAGACTGTGCCGATTATATTCCCTCACTGGCCACTGTGAGCACCAATAACTGCTTGAATATTTGGTTTGAACTATTTCCTGCCCCAGTCATGTTCCATTCTTCGAGCAGAATCAGCTGAGGTTGTGCTGAGATGAGGGGATACCCAGTATTGCAGTTAGTGGCCATACACATGAATCAGTCCCTGCTCAGTCTGGGACCCTCACGAGACAGGAACAGGTACCCTCTCTTCCAGAAGGTGATCTGCTCCCAGTACCTTGTTGAAGAGCTTGATGGGGTCATAGCCGGTGGACTTTGCCCATTCCTTGGTGGACACGCGCTTTATGTCTCCATCCTGATTGGAGGCTCCTGCTCTGGCTGCAGTCTCCGCCGGATCCCCTGGCAAACCAGTGCAGAAACAACAATTTAACTGGGGATTCAGGCCCTGTGAGGTTACAGCCCTACAGGGGTGAAACCCCGCACACAGGACTCCTGGCCGGATTCGTCCATCACTACTGATAATTCCTCTGGAAATCATTGCAATGCATCTGAAGACCATGCTTAAAACTGCTCTTCGGAAAACAACACAGAGTGAATAAAGTAAAAATAATACCAGGTAGTTCTGATCATAATTACTGTATGCAACGGTTTTTCTGTTCACCACTAAGATTGTGAGCTCAGGGGAAGGTGTTTTTTTGTTTCCACCAGAGGCTAAACTTCAGACTGTCGTGGATATCCCCACAGGCTAAAAAGCATAACGACGCAGCACCACTGACACGTTAAGTTATTAAAAATGCCATGAGGGAAAAATGAAAAGAAGAAACCTACAGGCAGCTTCTGGGTCAGCCGTGTCCGGAGAGACCTCTTGGTCTGCATCCTCCTCTCCGAACAGCTGGCTGGAAAAATTCAGACATTTTGAAACTTGGGCACCCAACTCAAAAGAAGACAAACTCAATCAGCATTTGACAAAAAAAGCTGTGTTTTCTGCCCAGATTAAGGCTAGGCAAAGTATAGATGCTAAAAATACAACACTGAGAGCCACTGGAAACCAGTACTCAAATATCGCACCATACGTCTTTCTTTACAGGTGAACCACTAGGCTAAAAACACAGTGTTTAGTAGCACTGGTGCATCCTGGGGTGAGCAGTCATACAGAAAGTTGTTGCTTGCATATTAAAAACAGTAAGAAGGCTCTCTCAGCCTGCCTCCCTTACTTGTAGAGGTATTTGGCCCAGACTATGCAGTGGATAGGCTCAGACGGAGTGTTGCGAATGGTGCATCCTGGGAAAGTCTTCTGGGTGGGCTTGGGCTGGCACTCATAACACTCGGTCAGCCCCTGTGCAGTGAACAGAAAACAGTCCAGAACGGGTGGCACTGTTCCACTGGGTCATCTCTTAAGGAATACAACAATTAAGGAACTGTGAAAAAAGGTGCCTTATCGGTAACAGAGAAAAGATTACGCGCAGCTCACGTCAGGTTGGCAAATAAGGCCATTCGAATTAGAAAACCTTTAAATGTGGAGGCAAATGACCCAAACCTAAGATAAGATCACTTTATTGGCCGTAAGAATTTCTTGTATTAGGAATTTGTCTTTTCGCATACCCCAACTTGCTCTCCATGAGACACACAGACACACCTACAATAGAAAAAGACGCTTTTAACTCTATAAGGACAACACTGAGTACAAAACACTGCAACATTGCTCTCCATCTTTGAGATCCAGGTGTTTAGAGACTGCCAGCTAGCCAAGCCTCCAAAGTGACTTTGCTCTTGAGCCTCATTACTTTGTTTTCCGGAGTTTCCTGAGTAACAGTACTTGCAAATGTTTGTGGTGAAAATTCCTGACAAAATTCTAAACACCTGTGATTCATATGTGGTAAAGAAACGTCGAATGGTTTCAGAAGAAAATATCTGTCCCAGTGATATGCAGATCCTTGTTAGGCTCAACATTTAGGGAACTAACACTGGAAAATATCCCAATCCTCTCGAGAAATGTAGGGCTAAAAGTCTCACCTTCTTGATGACCGTGACCTGTCCCAGGTAGCCTGCTGTTCCGCTCTCTATCAGAGGGACGTCTGCGGCCAAGCACATCCTGTTCACATGGTTACGGGCAGCTGCAGCGAGAGGACAGCACTGACTCCCGGAGCCAAAGAAAACCAGACCTGATCCTGATGGTGCCAGGCGATCAGACACCGAGCTCTACGCACACACTTAATGTTAACACAAAACCCAGTGGCTCAGGTCAATGACTTCTGAATTTTTTAAAACATGTTTTGATAGCAGTTTTTAAAGGTGTTCATCTTCTAACAAGTTTCCATTTTCACTTTATTGAAGTTCCCGTGAACACCGAAACCACAAAGACACAATCACAGCTCTTAAGAACAAATGCAGTTATCATCTTCCAGGCAAAAGTGTAGCAGATTCTCCCGAACCAACACGCTGAAGTGGATTACTGCTTAACTAAGACATTCTCTGTGCTAGAACAACTTTCAGAACACAACTTTTAAAAGAACAATAGCTGTTTCTTGTTTGATAGTAGCAAGGAAGCCATTTCTGTGAAATAATGATCGCTCCCACACCGAACTGAAGAAACACAAGCCTCCTGCACAGACCACAGCGAAAGCATCTATTTGAATATATGAATATATCCACTAAAATAACAGCCATGGTGATGAACTGAAATCACACTGTAACCAGGTTTCATTTCTGTAGCCACTAGCTTATACATAAGAACAGATACAAATATGAAGAGGCTATTCAACCCATCTAATTCATTGATCCACAGATCTCATCCAGCCACTTCTTCAGGGAAGCCAGGGTGTTGGATGGATGGCTTGCTCTAAACTATAAATATGAAGCGATACAGAAGTACTGAACAGTTGCGCGTTCCTGTTGAACTGTACCTCAATCACAATCAGGTCATGCTGTTTGATTACAATTTTTAAAGAAATCAGATGTAGGAGAAACATCAGAAACTATACTGTTTGAAGAACTACTAAAAATACAGTAGGGTCTCGACATTCTCAAGCATTCAGTGCAGAGAACAGTTGCAAACAGCAAAATTCGCGTATAACCAGGACCCTGCTGCACTTTTCCCCAATGAGAGAATATTTTTTCGAGTGCAACAGAACTCTGAAGACAGGTGTTGAAATGCTGTTAAAATATTTTTTTAGTGTTTCGTTGTTAATAGTTAAATGAAATCACCTTACCTCGATTGTCCAAAGCATTCATGACCAGCACAAAATTCCTGAAAAACTCCACGTTGTAGTCAGGGCTGGAGGGAATAACAAACACAAAAAAGAAAATTAAACGATTTTAAGAGATATAATTTAAATGTACACAAAGTACACTGGACATGCAGATTTGATTCAGAAGATTAAAGTATTTCTAACAAAATAAGGTTTTCAAAAACAAAGCCTAGGTTGGTTTGAAACAACTTGAAATATTCTTCTAAAACTCTGTCCTCATAGACATTTGTAATGGGCTTTAATGACAGACAAAATTGCAGTAATGATTATTAAAACTCACCACTAAAACATTTAATCGCTCCAGATTAAGTTCTTCTACCCAAAAAGAAACTCAGACTTAAGTAATGAACATACCTACAAACTGAGAGAGAGGAGAGGAACTCTCATGGAAATGTAATGGACGTTACAAAAGACTAGTCAGAACTACAATAATTAGTCTGGGGATGGCCCACTGTTGTACTCTTCACAATAAGATGCTTTCCTTTCTGCACATTTGATTTCAAATATAAATTGCTTCAAACACAGAAAAAAGAAATAGCACAATCTTACTTCATAATGCTGTCATGGTAAGCTGTGATGTTGGCTTTGGGGCTGAACTGCAACACACTCTCCTTAGCCACCTGTGAACAAAAGTTGCAGAAAAATTCAATGTACAAAGACAGTGTAGGATAAGAAAAACCACACACTATGCAGACGATGCAATTCAGCTGAACTTATTCTCCAGTCACTGCCATCAGCCTCAGAACTATTTATTATTCTGCTCACCTTGTGCCTTTAAAACGAAGTAAAGCATTAATGAACACTACAAACACATTATTTATATGTAAGCATAAGCATATGAAAGATATGCAAAAATACCCAGTTCCACCTTTATTTTCAGTTCGAAAACATGGCTGCATCACACCCTGCCGTCCGGACGCAGGCGGGCTCAAGCTGTGACAGGTGGGTGTGTCACACTGCATGTGCCCTATAGTAGCTGTTGATTCCACACTGGGTATGTGTCAAACTGAAAATAGTTCAGAGACTCCAAATCTTTAGATAGGAGAAAGTACCCTATTCCCCAGCCACAGCACAGGACCCTGAGGAAATGGCTCTATAGCAGACCATGTCCCAGTGAGATGGGGGAAGGCACTGAGGCATGTGACTCTCCGAAGATCTGCTAGGCAGCTCGAGCTCCTTTGCCCTGCTGTGCTAAATTAAAACTTCTAAAAGCTAAAAGTAAAATAAAAGCATTAGAACGAGAGATGATCACACAGAACGCCGGGACCAGGAACTGAATATTGTCTGCATTTTGCAAACATTCGTCATTTTCCGTCAGCCATCAACGCAAACCTGCTTCACACGACTTCCATTAAAAACAAGGATAATGAACAAGCCTCTCTTGCCGTCGCCGCTATGGGTGGGAGGAAAGGAGATCGGGGCCCACGTCCTGCCTCACCTGAGCCTTAGACTTTCCCACATGCTTCTTCTGGAACAGGAACTGTCTGTTGAGGTTGCTCACGTCAATGGTGTCAAGATCGATCTGGGGAAGAATCACAGGATGTGTTTCGGAACAGAAACTAAACAGCACCGTATCGCAACTCCACCTTTTCTTAATAATGCATGCCAGGTGTTTTATCGTTCATTTAAATTTGGCCACTCATTGGTTTTCAAACCGAACTGCATCCGCAGTTGTGTGTACATCAGAGTTCGGAGTGGGGCTATGCACGTCCCCTTCGACTTCAAATTTAAGAACCAAATTCAGATTTCCATTCTGAATTTGATCACCTTCGATCAGAGAACATACTCGTGGGTCGGACTGACGTGCTGGGTGTTAGAAAACGTGCCTTCCTCGGCTCCAGCAAGGCAAGTCTGAGCTCACAGGGTAAAGGCACGATACCAACCACAGTATGGGGCAGGGATAATGATCGCTACCACACCGAGCTGAAGAAACACAACCCTCCAGCACAGACCACAGCGAAGGCTTCTATTTCAGCATCTCAATTTGCCTCAAGGGGTACAAGACCCAGCTTTGCCCATTTAAAACCCCACGCCGTGACGCGCTCCGTCTGCTCCCAGTACCCTCAACAACAGCAACAGGGCACCGTGTGTAAAACGTCACCGGTCTTGCGCTCTGCTCTCGGCCCCGGCGAGACGCCTGGCGGGTAAAATCTTTTCGAAAAACTGAGAAAACACTTCTCCGTGAGCGGCGGGGCGGTCACTCCGTGCCCACCAAGCCCGGCGGCCGGCCGGCCGGCAGAAAAGGCACGCTCCGGCCCGTCCTGCCGTCCCACCGGTTCTGGAGAGAGCGAAACCCGAGCAGCGGGACACTTGGGGGCTGGCGAGCTCAAGGGCTGCCAGGTACCACCCCTGCAGTCTGCACATTGCAAAGAGAGGCTGAGGCTGGATTCCGGAAATCAGCGCGTTCCGTGTGGAGTCTGCATGTCCTCCACCGAGCCCGGGACTTTCTCCCGGTTGCCGGCCTAACAAATACACGCCGGTCGGTTTCTGAATCAGGCGCCCGTTGTGTGTGCGCCAGACGGCGGGTACCCTTACCGGGTGTAGGCGGTAATCTGAGACAATGGGCTCATTCCCGGTGGGCACGGCAGCGGACCGGCAGGCAGCCCATATCGGCCCTCCTAACGCAACTACAGTTCTCACGCATCCCCCTCGCGTTTTCCGCTTGCTCTTTCATTCATCAATTACAAGCCTGGCCCAGGCCACACAAAGCGAGAGCGGAGCAAGACGCCCCCCTCCTCGGGTCCACCAGCTCTTACCACGTCGATGTTGGTGAAGCCGGTCAGGACGAGGTTCTTCAGCAGCTCGCAGCCGATCCCGCCGGCTCCCACCACCAGGACCCGGCAGCTGGAGACGGACTGGGCCAGCTCTTTCCGGAGGGACCCCACCAGTGCCATTGTGGAGACAAGTGTGCGGTTTCCACGGAGGAGTTCGGGACGGAGCTGAAGACAGCCGAGGCCTCCGATGAAGGCAAGAAACAGCGGCGGCGGGAACCGGCCCCGTGGCTGTGCATCGCCCCCTGCAGGCGAGGAGGACTAGACAAGACGTCGCTTCTGATCGTACCCGTAGCGAGAAGTGTGTATTGAAACAGCAGCTGCATTTGAGAGGGATGCTAACACACAGTAAGAAAAATAAGTGAAATATTCCATTAATATGTTTACACGCTTTCAGCTATAAGACTGGATCTTAGACAGGAGGCACTTCTTTACTCGAAGGATTGTGGTAATCTGAAACAAGCAACCCCTTAAAGTTCTTCTGCAAAGCGCTGTGAGAAGCCACCTTTAAAGACGCTATGTAAATTAAGGTTTATTACTATTACTAAACCGCTAAAAACGAGGAACCTAGATCTTCCAAGCGACCTCTCAAAAGTAGATTATGTTCTATATTAAATCTATTTAATTATCCTTCTCTGATAATAAGCAAAAACAAAATGTTAATTTTTTGTTTCACTATCAAAAATGATATGAGACAGGAGGTTATATTCATCCGAAATATTTATTTATTCCAAACAACATAAAAATGTAGATTTCATAGGCTTTAAAGAGGTTTCCAAACTAGTTTATTTAATTCTCTTTATCATACAGTAAAATAATTTAGAGAAATAAGTAAGTAGTTTGAGATTGAGCAGTGATACATCAACTCAATAGTGTTAACCTTGAAAGAAACTTTCATCCATTACTAAATAAAAGGAAAATCCTATTTAATGTGTACCAATCTAAACACTGTTTGTTGCAAAAACATGGCTTGTTGCTGACACTCACAGTAAAGTGTTCTTGAAAGCTGGTTATGGGATGAGATTTTACCAGTTCACTGAATTCAAAATCAATGGATTTTAGATATCCATGTGGAGTAAGAGGAATAGTTAATGTGGTATAAGAAAGAGTGGTAAAGGGAATCTTTGTGGGGTATACTGGGGAGGTATGAGGTCATGGCTGTGTTTGTGGAGTAGAAGGCGAGGTATGAGGTCACAGCTGTCTTCGGTGAGGTCACCACAGGTACTCAGACAGCCTGGGGTCCCTTCGCAGTTTCTCTTCCAATGCCAGGTACTTTTGGGGTGCTTTCTCCTTGTGCCTATAATGACAAATAATGACTGTTTTTGCACACAGTATATAAAGCAGGATAGCTCTCTGTTAACACCCTTATAAAACCAGCATTAGCATGATATAATTCTGGTTATCCATAAAATGTGTTTAATGGCTTTCACAAAATAACATTAAATGACTCCACCACATTTTAACACTAATGGAGTATAATGGACTGTAGAAATAATGTCTTAAGATGGAAAGTGAGCCCTAACCTTCTGTCAAGGGTAAACATACAGTGGATATCTTCCCCTCTTTGCATTAGTTCACCCCAGTGTGCTGCCCTTGGTCACACATCTAGGGAGTCCAAACTGCCTTCAACCTCCATCACATAACAAGTCTGGTTTGACTGAAAGTGTGGCTATCTCTTCAAACCAACCAGGTTCTGAGATTCTGCACCGTCTTGACTTTAATTTGTTGACAACTGAATTAATACAGTGTGAAAACACTGGAATAAATGTTGTGCTGTTAAATGTTAAGTGTATGACATGAGGATGTTCCTTCTCATATCACTATACACACCACTTCATAGCACTGAATTTCAACCAATATACTAGTTCCAGCTGAGTTTCCACAGGTGACACCATCCCCAGCTCAGGATAGTTACTTACCTGTTGAGGCGCAGCTCCAGTATGTGGATGCGGAACATGGCTTCTGAGCAGTAGGACAGGTAGGTCTCCTCATCATCCTTGGTCAGGGACAGCTGGTTCTGCTGATACCACTGCTGCTTCTTCTGTAACTCCTGTGTCTCCTGAAGACAAATCGCAGCATTTCAGCTCGAAGGATACTCTTGAAAGTGTTTATATTATTTATTGAAGCAAGACAATTTGGTCTTTTTCTTGTTGCCCATGCAGGATGTAGTATTATGTATTATTGTCATGCAGACTGATGACAATAATGATTAATGACGGTTTCTTGAGGTAGTGTGGTCCACCTGTTCCCTTACCAGACCTGTTCAGATTGTACACAGCTGTTCTACCAAATTGAAGACTGCCAAGTGTGCTTTCTTCTCTGACATCACCAGTACTTTTTCGTGACCACGCACCAATGAGCTCCAATGAAGATGAGCACCAGACATTTGCTACCAAATAACTGAGAATTCTGGGACCATTGTCTAATCTTCGCAAAACTGGATGACAATGATAAGAACACGTTAATATACAGCTATTTGAACTTCAAGCTGATGGAGAAAAGCCTGGTGTCACCTTTTCGAAGTGAGCCTGAATGAGGTTTGCTTTGTCGATCAGACGCTGCTTGAGGTCGGACAGGCAGTCTTCTCGCAGCTGCAGGGCCATCTTGCGGGTCAGGGCGTCTGGGTCTCCCAGCTGCGCCAGGAAGGGAGCCAAGTAATCCAGCTCCTTCTCTGCTTTCCGCAATTTCTCCTCCTTGGCAGAGCGCTCCTGCCGAAAAAACAAGGGCAGATTCAGAACCTCTGTCATATTTGAAACAGAGTGAAAAACTCAGAGAGGATAGGTTTAGGTGCACTGGTCTCATTTGCAATGTTTTATGCTTTCAAACAGCAGAATCTAAAGAGAAAAATCACTACTAATAGCAACACCTTTTCCTTGTTTTTGCCCATTTTACATAGTAATATCTTTGGCTAAACATGCACAACAGTTCAGTCTTTAACTGGGAAATCTAAGTATCAGGGAGAAAAAGAATTCAGAAAACATTTAGTGTGCTTTAAGATAACATATCCAGATGAATAGAAAAGTTTGTTTTGCTTTACTAAGGTAAATAAAGTGTATAATATACTGAATAAATTGTAGCAAATACATGGTAAAGCACAAAGACATATGATAAAGCAAAAAACACAGCAAAACAAAGTAAATATATGGTATGAACATCGTTAAAGCAGTACCTGAATGCACATTCTTACACTGAATAAGTACAGCTGACAGCCATCAAGAATCATTAAACGACAATCTGCTCACCATGTCTTCTCTGTTTTTACGGGCCTTTTCATTCCTGGCTGTGTCATAGACTGAAATAAGTAGCTCAGTCCCAATGTCTTCTTGAGCTCGAAGGGACAAGATGGCTCTAGTCTGCAAAGGACAAGGACAGGACACGAGAGATAGTTCATCCCTTTTGCAATGCTCAGGACAACACACAGTCCAGCTGGAACTCTGGCTTTCAGTACTATACAGTATTACAATCTCAGAACTTTATATACTTTAAAAACTTGGATTTATTTTACTGCACCAAAGGTTTATCTCTTCAGCTGTCTTGCACTTTACTCAAGAAACCCGTTTTTGCAAATAAATCTGTTAGCAGAACAAAGCCCTTAAGTTTCAGACACAAATGAAGACATAAATGTTATGCATTGTACATAGGTTTCTACTGTGAGCCAGTCAGAAATCAAACATCAGTTGCTGACAGGAGTGATCTGTACCTCTTTCTCTGACTCTTTCACTCGCTGCTTGACAATTTCCTCTTCCTGCATCAGGGACATCAGTATCTCATACAAAAACAGGTTCTTGCTGGGTTTCTCATTGGGGTCAACCTGCCCACAGAACAGTGTACAAGAATGCTGTCAATGACCATCCTAGTTTTCTTTAATTCATAGATATTAATTACCTGTGTAGATACTCTGTTACAGAGTATGTAAGATTTTATACTGTTTTAGGAACTTCTAAATCTGAATGACTGATTTGATAAGTACAGTGTGACCTTAAAGAAACTAAATTTTAAATGTTTTAAAAAAGAGACAATTATGTAAAGAACTGCCTAAAATGTTTTAAGACATAGTAAATAGTAACTAACATGCAGACACAGGTATCTTGAAATTCTTGTAACACAACTGGTCCATTTATTAATTAGATTAAGGAATCTTAACAGATATTTTAGCTAGCTGAATAAAAGATAATCTCATAAGAGGTCCTTAAAGCTGTAAAATAATAACTCAATAATAAGTCTGCACTGCTAAATAAAAAACAACAAACATTTTATTACAGAAAAGTAAAGCTAAACATACAGAGCCCGAGTTAATCTCCCTTCCTTGTCTTTTCTGTTCTGGGCTCAGTACCTGGTAGGCGGTGACCATGTCCGGGGTGAAGACCATGCGCTGGTCGTGTTTGTCTCCAGTGACGCGTGGCTTGACGAACTCCCTCCAGGAGGGGATGATGCAGTCGTCCTCTCGGTGGTAGGTCAGCTGGATGCGCTGCTCTGCGATCAGGAACACTCTCTCGGCCACATCCTCACTGGCCTTTCTGTCTCGATTGCGATGGTAACGCTCAGTGATTTTCTACAGCCAGAGAAGAAAGCAGTCGTTCTGCCTATACAGTGTTTAACAACTACTCTGATCTGTTCAACAAAATCTTAATTGCAGACTCTTATCTCTGTGGTGTAGTGACAGAGAGGTTGTCTGTGGGTTTGATTATGAATGGGGAGTCTGTGTAAAGTTACAAGGGTCAAGGGGTGAGACAGGTTGATACATAACTTGCCTTAAAGGTAAGTTGCATAGCTAAGGATCTATGGCCAGTGACTGAGCAAAAGGAGTAACCCCCGATTTCTTCTAATGATCATGTTAATTTCTGAGCAGGAACCGTTCATATGTTATGTGCACAATATAGGCACAGTTAAGCAAAGAGCATTTTAGTGAAGAATGATAAAAACCTTGAAAAAATCAATACGAATATAAGAAAAATGGCAAAGGAGAACAGGCCTTCAAGCCCTTTTTATCTTTTTGGTTGTTTAACCTAAACTTCCAGTTTGTCTGTTGATCTATGATTCACCAATCACCGTGATCAGTGTGATTTTATTTATTTATTTTTTATTTGTTTTGGATAATGAAAAGTGTTTTTATCAATTCTATCAGACTGTTATCTACCACCTCTATGTGCCACGCACACAGCAGAACTTCACATCAGTTAGCTCACTGTTGATTTACCAGTACAGGCCTGCTGTTTGGATCCTGGGCATTGGCGGCCATTGGCATCTTCAGTCGCTTCCCAAAGATCACGTGCCTGTGGTACAAGCCGTCCGGTCTGGCCTCAAAGGTCTCCGTCATCTCAAATGGAATCTCCACGCGCTTAGCCAGCCCGTCAACCCGAGCATGGCTGTAGAACTCCATCTGCCGCTCTGTTTCTGGCTCCAGCGTGATGTACCTGTGAGCTTCGGGCAGGATATACACAGGAAACGGGCACATTATGCATTTGTTACATGTTCTAGGTGATACGAAATCCATTCTCACCTAGACACTTTTGTGTTCTAGAAGCACCAAGAATTTGGGGCCTTACAGTACATGTCGAGAATGCCTTTAAAGTCAGATGGGCTTTTCAGCCGCCTTTATGGTGAGAAATGGGCCTGTTGTTGGCGATATAACACAGTGCAGTGCACCTAGTATCGATGATGGCTTGTGTGCATTCTCTGGTAGATGCCATTGATGTTAGTATTGTATGCTTTTTTTATTGTAATTGTCCATAATAAAATTCACTATGGTTTGTACGTGTACACAATTTCTTCACTCTTTGTGTGAAGTGCCCAGTTTTCATTGTGCGATTGTTTGAAATGACCAACTAACTCAGCACCCTGTAAACATTTTACATTATTGGTATAGAAATCATTAGAATGTATCTGCTGTATATAAGATACTGAGACAAGTCTAAGTCTTCAAAAGAACCTGTAACTCTCCAAGTTAAAAGTTAAGGAAATCACTGATCACTGGCTACAGAAGCTATGCAAATGACCACCCTCATGGATAATGTAATGTGTATATTGTTACTCTTTAGTGCGTGTGATCTTCCTGGACTGAAATGTTCCAAAGTCTCATTGCTTCCTTTCTTCAGCTCCCTCATTTCCAAATGGTCATGTCTGTGTCTGAACCACTCCTTCACGTCTGAGACCTGTTTACCTGCAAACAAAGAGTGGACAGTGGATAGTGTGATTCCACACAAGGTGTAGTATATACAGTACATATACATACTACAGCACAGAGTCAGCAAACTAACAAATAAAAAATATTGTTACCCTATTATTTTAAACATTGTTACACACTTGCTAATTTAGTAAAATGGTCACTAAAAGCTAACATATATCTGAATAGTATCCTAGTACTAGTAATAGTACTAATTATCTTAGAATAGTAAGGTTTATTCAACCGCTTCAACATAAATAAAATCACCGAAGATTCCAGGTGAATTAACTTAAAGGTGTTCCCATATTTGCATCTGTAGCTTCTGCTTTATATTACTAAGGCACCAATTAGCACTATACACATCCAACAACAAGGAAATTCAATTCATACTATAAGAAATGCTCTTTCACTAAAATATCCTTTCATTGATGAGATAAGTATCCTTTCCAACTGCCAAAATTGTACCCAAACAAGAAGAGATCTGAAAATGACTAAAAGACAAAAGTGATATCAATTGTCATAAATCATCCAATTCATACTTATTCACACAACAGTTTGCTTTAACCATTGAGGTATTCAACCCACACAGGATTTCAGGCTGAAAATTGAACTGTCCAATGAAATAGAATTAATTTAATTAACAAATAATTAAGAATGATTTCACTTAACACAGCCTTACATTCCAAGTCCTGGTAGACAGTGAGCCGAGTCACTAGTCCATCCTTCATCAGATAAGGAGCAAATTTCTCCAGCTTAGCCTTCCGGTACTGGATAACTTTCTTCCCCTCAGGGCAGCGAGTCTCCATATCTACAGAGGAAAAGAGAAATGAAAAGAGAAATCTGGACACAACTGTGATGATGCCAACAGTGCCACACTGGCACTGATGGAGCTCATCTGAATTTTGCAATTCAGACATAAGAGGGAATAAAGATACAAATATATCACATAACACATCTGTATTTTATTAAAATCTGGCGATTGTTTAACTATCACTAATATGTCTGTGGAAGCATATTCTAGGCAGAGCTACCTTTTGAGGAAATGTCAATTTTCTCGACCCATGAGGGAGGCATCTCAAACACCACTGGCTCCTCTTTCTCCTCCTACAGATGTACAAAACAGAGTATGAACACTTCCATACCTCCAGTGCAAGTTTTATAAGCCTTCCACGCAGGCAGTAAACAATGACAGCTTTCTTCGGTGATCGTTAACTAGTTACATACTGACTAGATTTCATGTTGACTGAAAAGTGGGAAAAGGAAAAATGCACTTATGCTGTCTAAGAAGATAAAACACTAACAAGGCACAGCACACTCCTACACTTAAATGGGGTAATATACGTCACAAAATTATACCATCAACATAACAGCTCTAACCAATCAGACTGTGTAACTCTCTGTGCTTCCCACTGCTTCTATTCTTATCAGAGCCTGACACACACACACCTCCTCCTCCAGATCCTCTTGGTTCTTCATGTCTGGGATCAATAACAAGGGTTTGCCCCTTCCAAAGAGCAGGAACTCCCATTTCACAGCATCACCCAAGTCAAACGTCAAGTCCTGAAAAGAGATTAAAGGTAAGGCCTCTGTGTTTCTCAGTTTTTTAACACAGGTCTTATTCATATTAATGTGTGCTGTTTAATGTGAAAAGTATCTAGTTTTACATGCAATTAGGATTCCAGAATAACTTTCCATGCTGTGTAAACAAGGTATTTGGTACATGCCTGGCAGCAGTCTTGAGTTAGTATCTCACATATGCCATGTTGAATTCACTCTTTATATTCAGTTGCTTGTACTAGAGGGACCTGATTTGGAATATCAGGTTCATCATTTTGCATAGTGATCTTCAATATTTGAAAACATAAAAAACAGAAAGAAAGGGATGCCAATACCTATAAATTTGTGTTTTTTCGTTTTCAAATTTCAATTCTTATACAGCACACAAAGCAATGCCATTGCTGTTAATGTGCTATAAATTGTATACTGCATGATCCAGTTCTACCTACTATTGCACTTGGGAAACATTATTCACTCCGTGTGTACAAGCATGCCACTTTGAAAGAAAGTGTAGACTTTGGGGATTTTACTTTAATAAATTAAAGGATTGGTAAACCTTAGGAGTAATTGAGTGTCTTCAATAAATATTCAAATATCTAAAAACCATGTGACCCAGTAGCTGAAGATCCACGAGTGAGACCATGGGAGCCGGACATTTTCATTAACGCTGTGGCTCCAAAGAGAAAAGACCTGTACTGGAATGCGCTCACCCTACAGCCGTTCCTGCAGTCCTGCATATTGACCCAGTAGTTCTGATGGTTCCAGAGGCTCTCGATTCCCAGAAACCTCTCGTCCGTAGTGCTGAAGCTCTTTCCGCCCAGCGGGTCGATGAAGAAGTTCTCGGGGACCTCACGCCTCCCAGCCAGAACCAGGACCCAGCAGTGCACACGGAGGCCCATCAGCGGGTCGGGAGGAGGTCGCTCCCGCTCCTGAAACACAGCATTTGCCCCCGGAAGGACGCAGCATGACACCCTTCTCTATGCTGAGATATTTGTTACCCTAATGGGACACTGTCAAAGAGTAGCCCACAAACTCACCCAAAGCAGACTCAGCATTTTTTTGCAGGATAATGTTAATTGTCAAAGTGATAAAGCCAACAAGAATGAGTGCCATTTACAATCCGTCTTCCCTGTATTGTCCAGTTAATTCTATAGTTGATGGGATCCCCACTGAGTACCTTACTTCAGAGTTTGTTGCTTAAGAACTTCTATTTTATTTCACATTACATCACATTATTATCAAACTAATCAGATGAATAAAAAATCTGTTTAGAACAGAAATGACTTAAAGGACACAGTGAATCCTGTGACAGTTTCTTTCTGCATCTATATGTTAGAAAATGTGCAGTAAACCAGCCCAGCCCCCAGCTGTCTGTGCTCAACTCACAGCTTCTTCTCTCTCTGTTTCCTTGCGCCTCTTCTCCTGAGCGGCCAGGATCTCTGCCTGCTTCCTCTGCTCTTGCTGCTGTTCAAAGGCACTGCGCAGGTCTCTGGGGGGCTTCACAGTATACTTCTTCTGAGGGGCTCTCTGCTCTGGCAGTTTGCCCTGGAAAATACTACTTTTTATTCACAGCTTACACAGCTTTTATTCCACAGTTTGCTACAGTGCATGCAGACACCCACATAAGTCTTCAGAGTAGTGCCCAAGCAATCAAGCAATATTGCTGAAGCAGAGTCCCTGGTATTCTTCAGAAAGGACAAGAGCTCATCAGATCAACAACCTCTTAGCACACAATGAACAGAATGGCCCCATTTACACAGTTTTTCTTATATAGGTACACACAGTTCTTTTCTTTTGTTTCTTTTGTCACTCTCTTAATAGTGGAATGTTTGACTTTGAATTCACACTGACCCATTCAATGTTGTTTTGCTCACAAACCATCTCTCACAAATCACCTGGATAGAGAATATCCCACTAAAAAACACAATTACCACAATTTTCCATTTATTGCAATATAGTAAGCGTTATTGACCAGTAATCGCAATATAAAATGCATTTTACTGAATTAAAAAACACATTATTCTTAAACTGACAATTGAAATAATTAATAGCTTTTAATATACATCAATCAAGTTTTTATATTACTCAAAGACAGTTAGATGCATATTGTGTAAAATTGTTTAGACAAAAGGTTACATTATGCAACTGCCTTTTCTGCATTAAGAAACCTTAGGTGCCACTTAGGTTCCCTAAGACTTTTCCTTTGATTCTTTGTTACTCTCAAAGAGCAGACTTCAGTCTTTTAAATAGATCCATGATCTCACCCCCATTTGCCTGCATTATTGTAAAAAGGAGTCAGTTCCAACACACAGCAGGTGCAGGGAAGTCTGTTTTTTTCCATTGCCTAAATGCTCACCTTCTCCTGGTTCACCAGCAGGGGGCACTGCTGGTGTGTCTGGTCCAGCAGACAGAGCTCCTTCGCTGCGTAGCCGCTGACGCAGTATGCATCATAGCCCGCCCCAAGCAGCAGGGAGCATAGCAGGTTTGCGAACTCGAAGCAGGTCCCACGCTGGCACTTCAGCACCCAGGTAGGAGAACGAAGGCACTGGGGCTGAGGAGGATTAAGATTGGTAGAGTAGGCAGTCATACCCGAGATTAAACATTCAAATTCCAAATGCAGTCCGTCACAGGCACAATTTATAAAAAACAATTAACATAGCCAGCCATGCTATAGTGGTCAGATGACCTATTTTCTCCCACTACGGATTCTAGTTGTATTTTTCGGTGCTGTTGCCTTGACTTACCAGATCTACAGGGGGATCCAGAGGCTCGACAGAGAGATACTCAGATACAAAACACGCACAGCCACCCCAGCTGTACAGTTCAGGGTAGGACAGCAGTGTTGGGCGCAGCGTGGTGCTCACAAACTTCTGTGCAGGGAACAAGAGACAAAAAGTGAGTAAGAGAATAGACTTCACTCATTTGTAACCTCTTGTAAGACTCACCATTTCTTTAAAAAGGCAACCTTGATATCCTACACAAATAAAGAAGCTCAGTGCCCAGTACAAGAAGACAACCTTACAATCCAAAGCTTATACAAGTGCTCAGCACCAGTGGCAATGAGGGGAACTGCTGCTCACTGTTGTACTCAGGCTATCAAACAGTTCTGTAGTTTTAATGTAATTTAGTAGCATTCAGGTTTTTTTACTGACCATCCCAAAGATGCACCAAACCTGTGGCTGTTCTGCACCCTGACAGTGAGAAGATTTGGTTGAGGCTAAGCAGCTACTGGGCAAAATTAGGCTCCTGGCAGGACATAATCAATATCTGTGCCATACGAGATGTAGAAGAGCAATACAGTTTTCATGCAATTGCAAGTTCTGTACAAGAGTCACCTCCTCTACCTCATCCATTTCCTGACCCAAAAGTCCTGCCTAGCACACGTACCTCAACCCCACACTCATTGAGGGGATTCAGGAACAGAGGTTTGCGGTCAGGATACAGGTGAGCATATTGAGAGCGGAAATTATCAGCAATGGCCAGCAGCAGCTTCTCCTGGGAGGAGTTCTCCTTGTACGAGGAGGGGAATTCAGAGAGATCTATGGACGACTTAGTCACTGGTCTGAAAAGATGGACAAGTCAGTCATTATTATTATAGTCATTATTGTGTGCACACACTGCACACCCATATATTGAATGTCAAAGGCTCAATCAGTGTGAAACACAAGACATAGGAGCCCACTGAAGTTCAGGAAGAAATCTTTGAAGTTCAAGAAGACTTCTGTCTAGCATCCACTAGAAAAAACTAAACATCATGAAAAGCTGTACTTACTGTGGGCTAAAGGACATATCTACTCATTGTGGGCAACTAGAACTACAGCTTCCAGACTTCTACATCAAGCAATGACAATGATACAATCATTGATTCAAGACCCAGATTACCCAGATTCAAGAGCAATAGAATAATCATTGATTCAAGACCCAGATTACCCAGATTCAAAAGCAATAGAACAATGTCATTGTTTTACTCCCACAGCTGTTAACCTGCTCAATTTGGATAATTAACTGTACATTTTACTTTTAGATACATATTTATTTTCTTATGGTACATGTATGTCTTATTTGTGAATGGGTCCATGTTGTGTTAAATGTATTGCGTCCTGTGTTATGTCAGTTACCTGCTTGCAAAGCAAATTTCCCATTTGGGACAATAAAGTAAGTACAGTAATGTTGACATGAGGTTTGTACTCACTGCGGGCTGGCAGGGGTAGTGATGTGTATTTTGGACAGTGTCTCCTCCAGATCCTGCAGCTCTGTATTCAGATCTTCATCCCCTGCCTCCTCCTCCCCCTTCCACTCTCCAGCCTCAGACAACTGCTCCTCTGGCAGCGTCTCCATTTCTTACAGGACTGAAAATGAGAAAGAGGAGGACAACCTGAACTCCACAGGATCACCTCTCACCCTGTCTTCAAAGGGACAGAACTATCAATCAATCAGAGTTTATTTATCAAATGCACAATAATACAGCGTGCAGTTATTATTATTATTATTATTATATTATAGCAGTAGTTGCTGGCAACAAAATGTCTATCAATATCAATTACATCATATTTTTGTTTTACTATTCTTTATAATCATATAATCATATAATTGTTCTTGTATCATTCTATCCATTCTTTATTTGAATTACCCTAAATATATCTATAAATATATACAGTAGGAGGCATCAGATTCCTCCTGTTAAGGAGGATTCCTTGTGCTTATTGTGTGCCTTGTGCTTATTGAAACAGAAGGCACAGAATTAAATTATCTACTGTAATTACCAAGAGAAAACAGTGTAACACAGTACACCTTGACATTTTATGTTAAATATATTTAACAATTACAAGTTTACGTTGTGCCACAGAACAGTGTAAATATATCCTTACTGCAGCTGCTAAATATTTAAGGAAGCTCGACCATTTTCCGTTCAGTATACAAAACTAAATAGTTTATCCGGTTTCATAATTTATTTACGGTTTAGTATAGGATAGTTTAACTATAGTTTATAAACAGTTTCTGAAACTTCTAACCCCTGTTTTCATAAATCACATTGTTTATTTACTCAGCCGCATAATCAACAGGTACATTCTACTGTCACTGATTGTTTTTTACCCCTTGTTTCATTTTTAAACATGTAGATATTGAAATAAAAGGTTAATCGCACCATTCCCCATCACAGTACCTCTGAACGACCGTCCCGTTTACGACCGTCTCCATGGCCACGGCAGCGCTGGATCACGCTGTTCCGTGGCCCCGCCCCTTGCGTAAGCAGCGTGAGGAGACGAGCTGCGGGTTTCTCCTGGTTTGAACTATTGATAAGCGCGGACATTTTCTACATCTGACTAGTGCTACTTGAAGATATAGATCTTAAAGGACTCCTACGGTTTCATTTTCGATTTTGCACGTGAAAAACAATTACCAAACAACAACAACAAAAAAAATAAGGCCACAGCTTCCTTTTATCTTCTGTATCTTCATGTACAAGCTACGCTCTTAAGTACCTGACCGAGCCCCGACCCTTAAAAAGCAGAAAGTATTCTAAGACTTGATGATCTCAAGTTCTAGAAATCTTCTATTAATTAATTAACCCCCACCTTTTGGAAACAGCAATTGCTTGGGGGGGAACTCATGAAAACAATCTAAATGCTAAAAACATTGATCTGTTGAGTGCGGATTCCGGAAACCAGATTCTCACCAGAAATAAAAACCAGACTAGACTAGACCAGACCATATACGTTTCAAATGTAGCTCCCTCGGGTGTCACGTCGGCGCAGTGGATCGTATTGCTGTGGCCCTGGGTTCCATTCTGGACCCGGGGTGCTCTCTGTGTGGAGTCTGTGCTCCCCTACGATTGTGTGGGTCAATTCCAGGTGCTCTGATTTCCCCCTTCAGTCCAAAGACATGCTGGTAGGTTAATTTGTTTCAGGGAAGATTTGGCCCTGGTGAGAGTGTTTGTGTGCGTCTTTGTATCCGTGTGTGCCCTGCGATAGACTGGTGTCCAGTCCAGGGTGTATCCTGCCTCATGCTTGTTATTTGCTGAGATAGTCTCCGTCTCCCTTCTGACCCCGTATGGGCTGAAGTGGTTAGAAAATGGATGGATGGATGGATTTCTCTTGAATATTAAACAATCACCCACTTTGTATCACATTTACGCCTTCAGGGGAAAACTGAGCCCAGGAACAGGCGGGAGGATTGGACAACTACACATGTGCATACTTATAAAATCAATGGGGAAATACTCTCCAGCTCCTGGAGTAGTTCACTTACGAAGGTTGTCCATTGAAAAGTCTGTAGTGACACAGTCATACCACTCGAGGTCGCCAGAATTGCTTCAAAGGACTGGTCTCACCTACAGTATATGAACTGATAGTTTTGATCATTGTCCTGGAACGCAGACAATCTCACATGGGATTAAATGGTTCACTAGAAGTGGGGTTTAAACAGGAGTGCTTTTCTGTGATGGACTGGTCTCTCTCGTCCAGGGTGTATCACGCTGTGGGCCAGTTGCTTGCTGGGATAGGCTCCGTCTCCCCCACCACCCTGGACTCGATAAAGCGGTTAGCGGTTAGTTAGCGGTTGTAACTTTGTTAAAACTCTCAAAGTCAGGATCACCACATAGACCACTCATGTCCCATCAGTGTTGGAGAGTTCTATGTGCAAAGGTTGTTTGACCAATGTTACCAGAGTCTGCAATGTTCCACACTATGTAATCATTGGATAACTACATTGCAAATTACCCTGGGTGCCGAGTGTCTGCCAGCAAATAAAGATAGTGAAATATTTGGTACGAAGACATCAGATTTCCAAATATTTACTAAAGTAACCTATTGTTCTGCATGAAAATAAAAAGTTGTCTTCTACAGATAGGGAATAATCCAATGAATTGAAATGGATAACAGTTTGAAAGTATGCAGCTGCCTGTATTTTGGGGAAATTTGAACTTTCTACCTTTTTCCATCTGTATTACAAAACAGGTCTGCACTTGCAATCTCTGTGTGACTGCTGTTAATGTTTCACAATGTTCATATAGTACACATCAACTGTTTAGCTGGTTAGGGGATCAATAGTTCATAGGTGAATTAGATAATGTTTCTGTTCACCAATCCATCAGACAGAAAAGATACATATTCTTTAGAAACTTCCCCTGTAGAAGAACTTCTCTGATTCAGTATAGGACACAACTTGTAAGTGCAAGCTAAATCAAAACAGACAGTAGCTTTCTATTCCAGGAGCGTATCCGGTTGCAAACAATGCTTGCTCATGCCTGAGTAACTTACCCGACAGAGGAACAGTGGCTGGGATCTTTAAGCAGATGCAGAGGATTGGATTTGATATCCTATCCTTTCACAAACAATGGTAACAAAACAAGGCCGCTGATGACATATCAGCCAGTCTTGATTTGATTTCAAGGCAAATGACTAAACCCTGACACAGTCCTCACACTGTCTGGCACTTCAGTCAACAACATTTTCATCATAGGCTCAGGATTTGCACCTTATTGCATCAATTTGCAGACAATAATAGAACTGCGATGTTGACACAATTGGTCCTGCGGTGCAGCCATAGATACCCGGCTCTCGTACAGGACGCTGGACTTCAGTGGTGCCGTGTGTAATAGGTCTCTTACTGTAAGAGTTATGTCGCTTGTCTGGTCTGGACTGTGCAATTGAGGCTCAAGTGATGACAGTTCAAGTACAGGGTCCAAATACACACTTCCTTCAAACAGTAAGTTTACTTTTGCTCCTCCTAACTTGCCACTCATGGTGGCAATGGGGTCCCTGGCTCCCCCAGGACTGAAAGGGACTATAACACTGTAGCGGAGGCCACTCTGATCAAGAGGTTGAACTCACATTGTAATGACTCCACAAGCTCTTTACCACATTCAAGTCCACCGGGCCACACAATTAGCAGTTACATATATATTCAATGGGTTCCAGTAATTCACCAGTAAACCTGGAGCGCATTTCTTCAACTTGAGACAAGATAGCATTGTTCTGAGTGACTGCATTAAAACAACATTCAGAGTTAATTGAATAATGTCAGAATGGAGCAAAATAACAGCTTGTATAAAATAAGTATTTAATACCAAAAATACCTAATAAAATACCTGTTTTATTTGAAATAAATAAAATACTTTTTTATTTTTTAACCAAATAAAAAAGCTGAGAGGAGTAATTGAGAGATGAGGTCAAATTATTGTGAGAAGCATCTGTAACCCTTAAAGTCTGGACTTGCCCATCCCAGGCAGAAGATTTCTAGCACAGAGTGATTCCTTTTTGGCCCGCTGTCCTCCTCTGAAAGGTTAGGCTTGCCCCTCGGTGTAAAACATTGCATGGAAATTGTTTACTCTAGCCAGAGCTCAGATAAAAAGCTTGTGATTTGTCAACGATGTCTAAAGCCGGAGTCTCATCAGTATTCAGGTGGTGGTGAGATCTGACTGGAGCATTCCACTGGCCTACAGGGTGCTGAGTGCGTACACTGGCCTTCCAGCGTGGGAGAGCTTCTGCCAGAGACTCTGCCCTCACAGCCTTTTTCTCCATTGGCCCTGATAAGACAGCTGCAGAGGCTCATCAGCGCAGCAGCGAGAGAGAGAATCATGGGCCGCCGCACCTCTGTGTCGCCTCTGCTTCTGCTGCTGGTTCTGGGTGTCTTCCCCCGGCCTTCGCCCGGATTCTGGCTCTTCAATGTCATCTTTCCTCCCAGCGTCGAGCCCAGAGAGTCCCAGACGAACAGCACCCCGCCTCTCATCCTAGGTGAGTGTCAGGGAGGGCAGTCGGGTTCCGGGTCTCCGGAGGAGTGGCGGCCTTTTTGTATTCCAGGAGCATTTTTCGAAAGTATGCATTCAAACCTACCGAAAGCCGTGCTCTTTCAGCCGGTTTGTTAATGCAGTGAGGAGCGTTAAATAATGACACAAAGGCCTGCTGTTAGGTTTCAGAAATAGGTTTTTGTTTTGGGAACATGTGTTTTGTGAAAAGTAGGGAATATCGTATGCATCTTTGCGATTCCAGTGGGTGTTCTGTGAATAGTGAACTCAGACTGAGAATTGGTTGTTTCTACTTCATTTATCATTCACCACAACAAATATCCTGCACTATACAACAGCTTCTAAAATAGCCTCTGAAGATACTATTATTATACAGACCTGTAGTCAAAGCTTTTCTCAGAGTGGAGATACTATCAGTTGGATATGACCCCGGTTTCGGCCTGCATTTTTAACACTTGACTGTTCAGGTTTCATTTGCACTGATGAGCTGTGAGCACAGCTTGCCAGGGGTGTCTCATACAGCATGCTGTACTATACTGTTGCACTTTTGGACAAATCTGTGTAAGGAAGTTCAGAGTAGATGATGGACCTATTTAGACTGAAAGTAGAAGATACTTTTTTGCTCAGAGATTTACCACCTGTCCGTCCTAGCTGGCTCCCTAGGATACATAAAGAAACATCTGGATAAGACTCAGTCACACAGTTCTACTTTAAGTCCAACAAATAAGATGGGAGTTAACCTCCTTTAGTTGTGAGCACCCTCTGTCCTTGCATTCTTTTTTAAAGTTAGACACTAGGGAAAAACTGGGAACCAGAATCACGATGAATCATTTACAGTAACTCACTCCAAAAATAGGGGAATAAATTGAAAGGAGGCATGTGAAGCATTCTGACCTGTGACCTCTTACCACTGCACAGTGCCAGGAAACCTGGGAAACCGGCTGGAGGCCAGGATTGACAAGCCCAGCCTGGTGCACTGGCTGTGCTACAGGAAGACAGAGAACTTCTTCACCATCTGGATCGATCTCAACATGTTTATGCCCATTGGCATCGACTGCTGGATAGATAACATCCGGTACGGTAGCACCGTCGTGTCTTAGCTCTCACTTTGTTGCCACCAACCTCACCATTTGTGTTGCCTTTCGTCAGGGGAAAAGGGCTCATTGTCAACAAACACCCACTGCTCTCTTCTGCCTCTTCACTCAAGAGAGCCCAAAACCAGGAACCAGAAATCTGAGACATTGTCCCTCTTCCCACTCATTTCACCTTCAGTTCTGATCAGAATTGATTCAAGCATGGAGGCTGCTCTTGAACCAGGCCTCACTGGTGATCAGACAGCTGGGTGAAACCACCAGTGAATCCCAATCCAAGCTTCACCTCCACCTCAAAACAAGTGCCTTAAGTTACTTTGCATCTGCATCTGCCTACATCAACAGAAACAGACCAGCCTTCCTCTGACTGATCAGAATCTGTGTCATTTCAGGATAGTGTACAACAGGACAACCCGGAAAAGCTCCAATGCCCCTGGAGTAGAGATTCGAGTACCCGGATTTGGCCAGACCTACCCTGTGGAATTTCTGGACACTAACAAGCTAACAGGTGTGCAGCTCTACATACAATACAATACAATACAATGATACAATTGTTATACACCATTACAATATTTTAGATAGGACTGGAAAAACATACCAACGGACATGTTAAAACCAAATTCATTTATGGGTATATTTTAGGTATTATATTATTTAGGTACATATTTTTCAAGGAGTGTCAGAAATACATTCAGATAATGAAGGGTTAAATAGCCTCATATGGTGAATAGCCTGTATTTCCTCTTGGAAATTTAACAGGGGAATTCAAGCAAATGACATGCGCTTTTGAGAACTTCCACAGGCTAATTAATTGATCACCTTTTGCATTTGTCATATGAGAATGGACTGTGACCACAAATCTGTTGTCTTGCAGGTTATTTCCACACCATGGTGGAGCACCTGGTGAATTTTGGATACGTCCGGAATGAGACCATTCGTGCAGCGCCGTACGACTGGAGAATTGCGCCCAGTGAGTGTTAGGCCTCAATGCAGTACTGAACCTCCACGGCACATAGAAATCTCAGAGAAGGAGAGGTTTGCTGTGATTATGAATCACACATCTTGTGCTTAATTCACAGTATAATATATTTTATACAACATCTGTCACTGTACATTCTGCCATCTACATTATATCATCCTCCGCAATTCCTGAACACCTGGCACTGGGAAGTGAGGGTTGCTGAGGGCTTGACTACTTGTGAACATGAAATAGCCTTGCCACTACTACTTACCACCAGAGGTCGCTATGGTCAGCCTGGCAATACCCAGTTCAATTGTACTAATTCAAGCGACTTGTCTTGGATAAATGTGCCAGCCTTCTAAATTCGTGATGAAATAATATTGATAGTTTTAATCAATTGTTTTTACTGGCATCATTGGATAGAAGTGCTGTTTCATGAAATGAGTAACTTTATCATCCCTTCACCAAGAGCAATGCCAGTGCCTTTAAGCAATGCAGCAGATGTACTAAGAGCTAAGTGATTCCCACTGAGAATTACTCTAGAGGGATAATTATTGAAATGAGGGTCAGGAACCCAAAGTAAAATGCTAGAAGAAAACCGTTGGTCCAGCTGGGTGATTGTCAGGTGTCTGGTTTGTGCCTGATAGATGAGCAAGAGGAGTACTTTGCAAAACTGAAAGAGCTGGTGGAGCAGATGTACTCTGAGTACCAGCAGCCTGTCTACCTGCTGGGACACAGCATGGGCAGCAACTACATCCTATACTTCCTGAACGAGCAGCCACAGCACTGGAAGGATCGCTACATTAAGGGCTTCATCTCGCTGGGGGCCCCCTGGGGGGGTGCAGTGAAGCCCCTCCGCGTCCTTGCTTCAGGTGGGTCAAAGACAGACAACTGGGGTGGCGCCTCAGGCCTGACCGCCTGGTCTGGACTGGGGCTCTCTTTCCAAAACAGGAACATTCACATCTATGACTAAACCACTAACCACGGCTGACACTGAGACATCCTGGTGTATGTTTGGCACCAACGTGTCTTGTCATGTACAGTATATGGTCACAATCAGCTCAGCTGACTATGGAAATGCTTGAAAATATCTCTGCATGAATCCACATGACGTTCATCTTTAATCCTCTGTGGATGAGCTACCTGCACTATGGCAAAGATGGCCAGTTTGCCCTCACCACAGCAAAATAGAGAACCAGGCTATGTAATTGTTAACTGCTTAGAATTTTGATGAAAATAGAAAAAAAAGAAAAAGTCTTACCCTATCTTTATTAGCTTCAGTATATTCAATTTCCACTAGTCACCCATTTAACTTCTTGATATTTATACTTAAAAATGTGCTTGAAATCCTTCAGAAATAATTTGTTTCCTGTCTTTGTTGGCTGAAAGACCAATAGACAACACAGCACATTAAAAGTGCAGCTCCACGAATACCAGTGTAGTTTAACCTTAAGGAGATACTTTGTGTAATAGCCTGTACTGAAATGAAAGGCTCTTTTAGATCAGGAGAGTCGAATATGAGCCTGGATTTGAATGCAGAGAATTTAGTACACACTAAACTTCTTTATTTTCCTTGGTTTCATACTCACACTTTATAAAGTTGTTTAACTAAAACACAAAGGCATTTGAAGCGCTGACAGAGGTTTGTCTTGGCAGGAGAAAACGATGGGATTCCTCTGGTATCCAATATCAAAATCCGCGAAGAGCAGAGGATGACAACTACCAACCCCTGGATGATCCCCACGGACCAGGCTTGGCCGACCGACCACGCCTTCATCTCCACACCCAGCTACAACTACACCTACCGGGACTACCAGCGCTTCTTCAAGGACATCCACTTTGACGACGGCTGGCACATGTGGGAAGACACCAGGAACCTCACAGCTTGGCTGCCCCCTCCTGGCGTGGAGGTGTACTGCATGTATGGAGTGGGCTTACCCACCCCGGTCACCTATATCTATGACGAGAACTTCCCCAACGCGGATCCCGTGGACATCGTCTACGACGACGGCGACGACACCGTCGACAGCCGCAGCATGGAGCTCTGCAAGCGTTGGGTGGGAAAGCAAGAGGAGCCGGTCCACATTATCGAGCTGAAGGGCATGGCTCACCTGGACATTGTCTTTAACGACAGAGCCCTCACCTTAATCCAGGAGATCCTGGAAGGGAAGTACAAAGGGCCATAGCCCCAGGGCTCCGAACGATGTAATAGGTCTAAACTGTAATTATTCAAATAAAATATTTTTAGAATGTTGTATTTTGTTGAGACACATAGTAAAATTTGCAGCGACAGAACAGTTTTCTGTCCTGGGACAGTGGAGGAGCAGAGTGTGGAGTACTGATGAAGTCTCTTGAAGTTGTTTTTTGCAACGTAATTTTGATAGTGTTTTTCCATCTTTCCAGCACAAACCCACTTAGCAAAAAACAGAGGGATCACAAACATTCTTGTGTACACATATAATAATAATTCCTTACACTTATATAGTGCTTTTCTGGACACTCCACTCAAAGCGCTTTACAGGTAATGGGGACTCCCCTCCACCACCACCAAGGTGGAGCCCCACCTGGATGATGCGACGGCAGCCGTAGTGCACCAGTACTCTCACCACACACCAGCTATCAGTGGGGAGGAGAGCAGAGTGATGAAGCCAACTCATACATGAGTAACAAGCCAACTCATACATGGGGATTATCAGGAGGCCAATTGGTAAAGACCAATGGGGAATTTGGCTAGGAAAAGGATAACTCTGTTTTCAAGAAACACCCTGGGATTTTTCATGACCACAGAGTCAGGACCTCTGTTTTACATCTCATCCAAAGGATGACGCCTTTTTAAAGTATTGTGTCTCTGTCACAATACTGAGGCATTAGGACACACAGACTGCAGAGTGAGTACCCCTTACTGGACCCACTAATATGTCTTCCAGCAGCAACCTTAGTCTTTCCTTGGAGGTCTCCCATCTAGGTACTGACCAGGCTGCTGAGCTTTAGGGGGCTGCCTGTTGCAGGGTGATATGGCTGCTGGCGATAGTTCTTGTAGACACCTTAGCTCAAATTCTTGTTCAGTATGTTTACACTCTATAAATGCGACAATATAGTTTGTCACATATAAGATACACAGGTGAGCTTAGTAACATTGCTGTGACCTAGAGGAGTCTTAATTTCACACAATGACCTCGATATTTTTGTTAACTTGAATTAAGTACAGTTTCAGAGCTTTGGTTAACTTTTAAAATTTTCATCAAGACTCAATTCCACTAGGGTCATGGACTTGAATTGTACATTAATGTAGACGCGGCTGCCTCCTATAGTCTCCCTGGGCCTTCTGGGCACTCCAGCGGTGCAGGTGGGTACCAGCTGCTGCCATGGGTGAGTCTGAAACGGGCTGGGGCATCCCACAGCCCAAGAAGAGAGTGATTCTCTTTTTGCACTTGGTGATGCAGAGACTACAGCATACCCTGGTGCTGTAAATCTTACAAATTGCTTAACGGTGGGGGGGTGAGGGGGTGAGGATGAGACTGTGAAATCAATGTACTCTGCTGTGAGATGACGATGCCTTAACAGGGAATCACATTTATTGCAGTGAAGGGAAAGCAGAAACAGGGAAGACTGTCAACAAAAAAATCAAGGCTGCCATCTGTCTGTGTACAATGCACTGATTGCATCGTGTATATGGAGAAAGGTAAGGGAATGAAGAGCTCCACATAGAATCAGGAGACAGATATCTTCTGGAACGATACGTGTATAATTAATCATTCAATGAAGAGTTATTATTCCATCGTTTTCCCTTGGTTACGTATACCTGTTTAAAAAAGGATATTTGGTATCGATTGCTTTTCCTTCCCCCCCCCCATCTGCACGCTCGATGCTCTCTGCGGGAGTCTAGTGGAGACTTGTCGGACGGGTACCCAGTACAAATTCAGCGGTGTTGTTCACTCTTAGCCTGACAACCTCAGCGGGTTGGGTCAGTAATTTAGTCTTGTTGCTTCTTAGTGGAGACCGGCCGATCACGGGTTTTGACTGTCCCGTCTGCTCAAGCAAACGTGCTTGACACACAGTAGCGAGGTTCGGTCTTTGGATTTAACAATACCCGGTGTGTTATAACTACCGCGGTATGTGCCTGAGGAAGAGATGGTGTCCAGTCCTGCGGTGATTCTGCTCTTGATTAACGTGTTTTTTGTCTCATCATGTGTCGGTAGTCCTGTTCGGAAATGCTCTGGCGACGTGTGTTCGGAGCGGCCGCCTGTAGTTCTGAGTGAGTATCAATTATATCGTTGTGTTTTATACCGTCTTCACACAAAGAAACGGTCTCCGGAGCGGAGTTTTCTGCTTCAAGTTGTGTAACACAGCAGGAGTGTCGTCTACTTCTGAGACTTTACCATAGAGAAACACGGAGGTTAAGAGTGACTGTATATTTAGTTGCTCTGTTAATGAGGGACAGAGAGTTTCAGGTTGAGGGTGGGAACTACAGTATCTACCCCCTCTTCATAATGTCTTCGTGGATGAAAAGTTTCCCCTACAGGTTGTCTCTAACTCGGAAGGTAATAATGTTTCTCCCTGGGCAGATGTCTGGCAGCTCGGGGCTAGTCATATGACTGTCCCCGGGAGAAATGTACTGGTAACTCTTAATTACATTCGGGTTTCCTGATCGCAGCATGGTGCATTGTCAGAGAGCTGTTTACGGAAGGACGGGGTGGGAGAGACGATTAAACCTCATCTAAACGATCTTTCTAAACGTTTTCTCTGTATAACTTCGTTATAGGGTCATTAAAGTTCTTTTTTTTTGTGGTGCGTGTCTAGCTAACGCAACTGGGTTCTCTAGTCGGCTGTTTCTAACTGGCTACCACTTTTATCAGGACACGGACGCCGTCCTTAGTTTCCGATATGTTCACAACCTGAAACCCCTCGGCTTGCAGGCCGTGGCTCTGGTACATGAAGACTACCAGCTGCGGCACTGCTGTCCGCTGCCCGTGCTTTGGTGAGGGGGGTGTTGTGTAACTCGCCTTATGTGTTTATTAGCACACCTGCTTTTTGAGGCCAAGTTCCCTCCCTCACACACAACCTTACACACAAACACATTGCCACAAATGTGACGAAATAGAAAATAGATGCCAGGTTTGTCAGCAGTTGCCTCCCAGGTACAGAATAAGTGTTTGACGGTGCTTTTCACCCCAACACTTCTCAGAACTCAACTCTCAAGAAAATATGTAATATATCCTGTTTTATTGTTCCTGCTCTCTGCCATCGTCGTATTAAATACACCCTGTATGACTCTTGTATAGTTTAAATGGCGTGAGAAATTTTCATGTCCTCGAACTCGAGTTTAATTGAAATACCACAGTTCCTCAAGAGCTGTTGAAAGTGTCTGGCGGAATCTTTCCAAGGTTTCTTATCAAGCAAATGGTTACATGCTATTGTAAATACTCAGTGGGTTGTTATGCACCTGATAGCTTTGAGCAGCTCCCTGCCTTTGGCTGTGTGGTTTAATATTTGTGTAGTGGTTTACACAGGCCTGGGACCATTAACTGCATGTTCCTCTTCATCTGAAGTTCAGCTTCCTCTCCAAGCAGAAGTGAAATTTTCTGCGCCTCCCAGAGCTGCAGAGAAGACACTTCAGCTCAGTTGTATTGGAACGGGGGTGGCACAGAGGTACAACTGTCAGAGGTTGTAGAAGAATAACTGGTATTTTCAAACTTAAGAAACAAGAGGGGTTCACTTAGCTCTCCCACAGACTTGTCATTTTAATTTTGTTTTACTTTAACTCTCTCGAATTTTGTGTAACTTAAGCATCCATCTATCCGTTTTCTAACCTCGTCTCCCGATCAGAAGTTAGGGGTGCCAGAGTGTGCCCCAGCAAGCGGGCAGACAAGCCCGTTAACCTACCAGCATGTCCTAGGATTGTGGGAGGAAGCCGGAGCACCTGGAGGGAACTTGCACAAACATGGGGGGAAGAACATTCACACTCCACACAGATAGCATTCCAGGTGTGGAATAGAAGCAAGAGCTCCAGGCAGCAAAACAGGCCACTGTACCACCATGCGGGCATAAATTTAACATCCCTGGAATTAAATTCTGCTACTTCAACTACACGTCCAAGCCCTGTGACGACTTTCTATTGCTGTCCCCGTGAAGGGAGTGGTAATGAGCCACCAGTGATACCTCCTGTATCTTTTTTTTTTTTCCACCCCAAGGGTAGTGGGAGTATCTGAACGAGCTGCCCAGCCATGTGCTTGAAGCTGATACATTGGCTTCACTCAAAAAAAAAACATGGATGAGATCTTTTGATCAATTAGCTGCTAGCTACTTAACAGACCAGATGGGCCAAGCAATCAGCTGATGCCTGTGCCCTTCCTGTTGTGGTTCATCTTGATGGGAAGAAGTGAAAGCCCCCCATCTGGCAGAACAGAGAAGAAATCTTGCCTTGTGTATTCAGTTGTTAATTGCTTGTTCTTGCATAAATCACAGATTTCTAACTAAAATAGTCACTTGCTTGATTGCAACCCTCAGCCTTATCCGTTCACAATCCTCCCCAAATTTGCCAGTCCTTTTCAATTCCACCTTCCACGCCGAATGACTGTTTCCTGCAGCCTTTATGAAAGTCTTCCGTGCTGTGAGTTCCTCTCTCTCCAGTGCTCTCCTCCTGTCCTGTGGGTAGGAGCTGCAGTGCTGTTCCTCTTGTTGGTCCTTGTGGCCTGGTGTGGGAGTCCGTTCCCCTCCAGGGGGAACAGTGGTGGATCATCTGCGGTAGATCTGGTCCCTGCAGTCGTCAAGGTCCTGGTTAGCCCCTGTGAATTACAAGAAAAGTTCTGAAAGACTGAAATGGATTTTTTTTTAGCGTTTTCCAGTGTTGGGTAATGATTCCCCAAAAAGAAATGCCTTGAGCAATCATGTTGCATTCATTGCTGGAAATTGCTTCCTTTCAGTTTTGTTTTGAGTTTTGGGCTCATCAGTGCTGAAAATGTACAGCTCATAAAAATGTACAATTAGAGAAATATGTTAAACCTTTATTTATAAACCATAATCTAAAGATAGGACCATTTTTACCTCTTTGGCAGTACAAGTGCGTCTTTTCTGGTTTCCAAATACAATCAAAATCGAATCTGAAATACTTCTTAAATGTTTTTTGAGTACCCAATGCTAGATTACACCCTTAATCTTTTACAGTGATTTTCACAAAATACAGGTGACTGTTTTGCTGTGAGCAAGGGTCTTGGAAAATCCCCGTGTGAAATTTGGATGTCTCTGAATTTGTTTTGCGAGGGATCTTCTGTGAAAAGAAAACGAATGACCTCTGTGAGGTTACATTGCTGTTTAAGAGAAGGTCCAAGTACACTTCAGTGAAAGCAGATTCAGCACATTTTTATGCAATATTTTGCAGAGCTCATGCAGGTAAACAGGCCAGATGTTGTAATCAGCTGAGGTAGAAAGTTCAGAATATTTCAGGAGCAACCTAAAAACCGTAGTCTGACCTTCTGCTGTTAAGCATTTGCTTGAGTCCAAGTGGTTTTGGGTGTGATGCGGTATGTATTTTGCATTTTATTTTGAGTTCAAGCACCTGGGTTGTGAGCTCCTTTTAGCAAAAGGATCTTGGAATTTGGGAAGTCAGGAAAGCAAAGAGCCGGTCTAGGCAAACTGGTTGTGTAACAGTGTTTTCATGCAGCCTGGTTCCAGCTCAGCTGACTTCTGATTCTCTTTATAATCAGAAGGCTTTTGATAAAGTTCCTCATAAAAGATTAATTCTCAAATAACTGACTGTAGACATACAGGCCACTGACATTTGAGAGGGCGGAGTTGGAATTTTATTTAAATGTGAGTTTTGTTTTTTATTACCTTGGTCTTGAACTCTTGCGTATACCCTGTTAAATTTAATACCGAGAAAGGTAGAACATAGTTCTGACACCTAACGTGTTACCCTGTGTAACCAGCATATTCACTCAGGTAGCATAGTCAACTGTCAGATGTACTTTTTTCAGTGATGCCTCTTCAATTTAACATTAAGAGTCATTTGTCCTAAAAGAAGGTGCTGAAGGTGCTCTAGTGTAGTAATGAAAGATATGGGGCTCCAGTATTTGCACCTGTAGTTGTGTACTGATGAACTAAAACAGAGGTACAGTCATGTCACTCTTGCCTTAATCCTGTTAGATAAGGCAGATGTTTTGTGTTATAGCAGTTTTTCTGGGATCTATCCTGTGCATTCTTCAAGCTCCGAGCAGCCGTACGAGCAAGACTTGCCAGCGGCCCTCTGCTCGATTGGAACCCCTCACTTGTCTTGTGTTATTGTGCCTTTCAGTCCCGGGTGACCTGGGAAACCAGCTGGAGGCCAAGCTGGACAAGCCCAGTGTGGTGCACTATGTCTGCTACAAGAAGACGGAGGACTACTTCACTCTCTGGCTGAACCTGGAGCTTCTTGTCCCTTTCGCCATCGACTGCTGGATTGACAACATACGGTGAGAGCGATCCTGAGGCCGTCCTCTCACTAGGGGCCCATACAAAACCCTGGTAATCTGTGGAAGGTTAGGCCACGACAGCGCATACACTGGCTAATGTTAGGAACTACCACTGTGTGACACTAGGCCTCTGCAAGCGGAAGGGACAGCTCTAACAGGACATTGTCCATGTTTTGTAGATCCTGAACCATTTGTAACCCAGTCCCACCCCATTCTGCTACTGCTCATTGCCTGCTACTGGCACTGTCCTTTGTGGTTGCTAACAGTTTGGCTGTTGATTGAAGAAGTATTTGGTTGCTTTGTCCACAGTATTTATACTGTGTTTTACAGCAGACGGTAAATGTACCAGACAGATTTACTGGTTAGTTGCTAGAGTAGTTCCACTGTAACTTTCGGTGTGGTCATGTTTTGTCAACCGTGATGGAAGTCTGTTGCAAAAGAACAACAACATACCAAAGGTATTTCAGGCAGTGATGTAATACAGGCCTGATATGTCACCAGATATGTGGAGATAGTTGTGGTCTGAAAAAAATAACCCCGCCTGCCCGTTGCCAGATGGGAGATGGGATTATCTGCACATCTATGCTGTTTCATAATAACTGATGCTGTCTAGCCATGCAATAAATCTGGTTTGCTTTCTCTGAGTCGCTGGTATCAGTTTTCTACGGTGTCCTGAAGTGAAAATTAATTTGTAAGGTTATCTAACGCAGGCTTTGTACATCGTAATAATGCCTTGCCTGTGCTATATTTCATCATCTTTCAGAATATAGGTTTTCGATTTCTTATATCTGCTGTAATTCTCTGTAGCTTTTCATATTTACCAGTTCTAAAATCGATACTGTGTTATCTGTGTGATGCAGAGGCTCATTTCGTTCTGTTCTCTCGGAATTTGCACAGCAGCTTGCAGATGGTCAGATAGTTCCCCTATTTTTGGCTGATGTGTACATCTGGGCTTGTCTTTTGCAATCTGTCGTCACCCAGGCCAGTACTCAACCACTTATAAAGATCTGATGTGAATCATGACCACAGTGCTCCTATGGAAAAACATTGTTGGTTGGCGTTGTCAGAGTGTCTTCAAAAATGCACAAGTAAATTATTCTCGCCTGTTCATGTTTACACTTAAAAACTTTTCATACTTCATAAACCTCTGTTATAATTTATTTTAGGCACAACAATCTATCCGCAGAGTATCTCGGTCCAATTCACTATATTAAAACCCTTCTTTTTGTCAGGAACACAACAGAGATGTGTGCAAC